CCCGGCGTCACCGTCTTCACTGCCCTCGTCGTCGTGCTGCACCTCGGTCGACTTCCTGGTCGACCTCTCCCCTGTGGTCGGCTCCCCTGCCGACTGCCCGGTCGCCGACTGCTCCGTAGTCGGCTTCACGGCTGCCTGCTCCCCTGTCGGCTGCTGCTCCTCGACCTGCTCCTTCCCTGTCGACGTCGGCCTCAATCCCATGTCGACCTGCCTCTCGTCACGTCGGCCACCGGCGATGCTCGTGGCCGGCGCCAAAGGCGACGTCCCACTACTCCCCTCATCGCCGGAGGCCGACACCGAGGTCAGCCCACGCAGGTCGGCCATGAGGGGAGGGGCAGGGGTCGTAGGGGGAGGGGTAGGGGGGTGGACGTCCTCGACGTCCTCAGCAGCAAGCTCACCGACCTCGGCAAGCAGCGGCAGCGTCGCCGACGAGGTGTCAGAGGGCGGGGTGGACGACGAACGGCCGGACACCGGCCCGTGCTCCGACTTCCACTCGGCCAGCGACATTTCCTCGTAGAACACCACGTCCGACGTGGTGACCACCCGGTTGGCGTCGACGTCGAGGAGCTCCCAGCCCTTGCTCGCCGCCGACACACCAAGATGAAGGCCCCACCTGGCCTTCGGCTGCAGCTTCCCACCACGCTGCTGCTCGGGGACAAGGAACCGCGCCATGCAGCCCCACACCCGCGCCAGCGACAAGTCGGGCCTCTGCCCGGTCAGCAGCTGGTATGGTGTCGTCGCAGACGGCAGCGTCGACCGCTCAAGGCAGTTGCGGACCCAGACGGCCTGCCGCAGAGCGAGGTGCCACCAGTGGTGCTGCACGCCCATGTGCAGCAGCATCGTCCGCACGGACTCCACCACCGTCCTCATCTCCCGCTCCGCCATGCCGTTCTGCTGCGGGGTGTACGGGCAGGTCAGGTCGTGGACGATCCCCTTGTCGTCCACGAAGTCGGTGAACTTCTTCCCGAGGAACTCCCCTCCTCGGTCCGAGCGCAACTGCAGCACCGACTTCTTCGTCTGCCGCTCCACCAACACCAGCCACTTCTGGAACTCCAGCAGCACGTCCGACTTCTTGGCGACCGGCCGCACCCACACGAAGCGGGTCTTGCGGTCCTTCAGCAGCAGGAAGTACAAGCTGCCGTCCTTGGCAGCCACGCGGAACGGCCCGCACAGGTCGATGTGCACGACGGCCAGCACGTCGTCGGCGTCGGAGCCTTGGTCGGGGTAGGTGTGCCATGCCAGCTTCCCGCCGACGCACGAGACACACGGTGAGTCGGTGCCCGTCGCCGACTTGAGGTCCAGCCCAATGGCGACCTCGTGCTTCGCCGAGCTCCTGATGGTGTCCACGCCTACGTGCGCCAGCCTCGCGTGCATCCGGTCCGGCGTCGACTTCGTCTTCGAGACGATCGCTTGCAGGGCCACAACCTCCGGCGTGGGCGAAGTCTGTGAGCAGGGACGCAGGTCGGTGCAGAGAACTCGCCCGGAGTACGTCGCCCGACCGAGCACCTCCCCAGCCGCCGAGACGAGCAGCATGCCGTCTCCGTCCTCCTGCAGCTTCACGCCGTGCTCCTTCAGCTGGCCGGCCGACAGCAGGTTGGCCCGCACACCCGGGACGTACAGCACGTCGGGGATGAGCACCTGCTTCCCGGCCTGCCCTTGCAGAGCGACAGTACCGCGGCCCTGGACGTCCTGCAGCGCCCCATTGAAGCCGCGCACGTGCTTGATGGAGCCATTCGGCTGCAGGTCGACGAAGACCTCCTTCGTCCCCATCAGGTGGTGGGAGCAGCCGCTGTCGAGCAGGACCACCGCCGGGTTCGCCTGCACAGCTGCCGCCACCGCCTGGAAGTCCTCTCCGGCCTCCGGCGCCAGCGAGACGGTCGGCTCCACGACGCCGACCAGCGAGCACGACGCCGTCTTGTCGTCCCGCGTCTTGCCGCCAGCAGAGGAGTCGGCGTCCTTCGCCGAAGTCGACGTCTTGGTCGACTGCTTCTCCTTGCGCGGCTGGTTTCCTCCTCGACGAGGACGACGACTACTCGACCTCCCGCGGCCGCCCTTGTCGTCGTCGTCGGAGTCACTGCGGTCGGGACACTCGAAGGAGAGGTGGTCGAGGCTGTGGCAGATCCAGCACTCCCGACGTCGACCTCCTCCTCCTCGACCGCCGTCCTTGGTCGACTTCTTGTCGACCTCCTTAGTCGACTTCCAGCCACCGCTCCCGCCGCCACCAGACTGTCCGCGCTGACCCGGTCGACCTCCTTGCTTCGCCGGGGCGACGAAGTTGGCCTGCGCCAAGAGCTCTTGCGACCGCTCGGCCTCCTGCATCGCCTCGTCTTGCAGGATGTACGAGGTCAGGTTGTCCTCGTTGAGCGTCGTCCTCGTGCCCGGCGCCATCGACAGTCTCTTCAGAAGGTTGTAGTTGCTCGACAACCCCTGCATGACGTGGGTGACGTACGACGCCGTCGAGTACTGCGCGCCGGCCATCCTGATGGTGGCAAGAATTCGCCGGGCTCGGTTGCAGTAGTCGGTCGCCGTCTCCTCGTCGCCCATGCGCAGATGCGTCAGCTGCCCCTTCAGCTGGGAGATGAACAAGTCGTCGGTGACTTGGTAGGTCGACTCAATGAAGTTCCACGCCTGGTGGCCGGCGTCGAGGTACTCCCGGCACCACTTCAAGGCGATCTGCACGCCCGGCGAGCAGCACCGCGAGATGACCATGAAGGTCAACAGCTGCACGGCACGAAACTCCGCACGCAGGTCGGGGTCGTCCGGCGTCTCCACGGAGCCTCGGGCGAAGTTGATCAGCCCGGCCATCTCCAGCTGGGGCTCGATGGCTTCCTTCCAGGTGAGAATATCCTGTCGACCAGTCTGCGGCGGGGTGACCAAGATCCTGTCCGGCGCAAATTTGAAGTAGCCGTAGCTTGGTGCAATCCCGCCCGCCGTCACCTGGGTCGCCGACGTCGGCGACAAACCGCTTCGTCGTCCTCCGACGACGCCCCGCGAGGAGCCTGCAGCCGCCGACGACTGCACTCCTCGCCCCTGAACGCCGCCGACTTCGTCGGCGTGAATCACACCTCTCTGCCTCGACGTGCCTCCCGCACTGCTGCCGACTTGGCCACCTCCGGCGTTGACGCCCACGTCGACGCCGCCCTCTGCGTTCACCGGTCGAGGAGACGCTGGTTGAGAAGGGTGCAACGTCGCCCACATGGAGCGAATGCCAGCCTCCACAACCACCCAAGGGATCGTCCCGTACTCCTGGGCTGCATGGCGCGTCCTCGCGTCCTCCAGCTGTGCTTCCAGAGTCTCCATCACCTTGGCGTCACCTACGCGCAAGCTAGAGACTGCACGGCTGCCGGCCTACGAACAGCTTAGGTAAGTGGCCTCTACGTCGACCTGACTAAAAGGTAAGTCGTGTGCCGTCCACGCTCACCGCACCATGCGGAGATAACTACTACAACGGGAGCTAGACTACGGGCTAGGCACGGGTGCTCGTGTGATCTCTGCGTTCCTTGGTCCTTAGTCGGTTTCCTAGTGCTCACACTGCTTGCTAGTTCACAAGGCAATTTGGCAAGAGTTTCACTAGAGAAAGGTTGACAACAATGATACAATGAAGTTGGCAATGCAAGACTACATCAGAGCTAGCATTCAGGTCGGCCAACTGCCAGCGCAGCTTGGTCGACCGCATTCCAGCACGACTTGGTCGACCGCGCTCCAGCAGTGCAAGGTCGACGGCGTGCCAACATCGGAGGTTGACGGCGTGCCAGCGTTGCTCACGCAGGACAGCAGCGCACCCGCTTCGCAGGTGCACGCAGATGATTGGCGTGCAGAGTCTCGTCACCTGCACAGCGCACACACCACGTCAACCTCGAGCTGACGACTGCCTCTGATCCGCCACGACGACCTCGGGATACCACCACCGAGGTCGGGCTCGCCAACTTTGCCTGGGCGACCGTCGCACTCCTCCGCAGCACTTCGTCACCCAGGTAACCTGGTCGACCGGGCAACCTCGTCGACCAGCAACTCCCGTACGTGCCCGTCGACCTCCCAAGTCGACGACCACCTCCACGTCGGCCTCACCAGGTCGACCACGCCCCTGGTCGACCAGCTCCAGGTCGACGTCCCTCCTGGTCGACCAGCTCCACGTCGACCAGCACTCCTGGTCTACTTGCTCCTCGTCGACCAGCGCAATTGTCAGCCGACCTCCCAAGTCGGCTACCCGAAGTCGGCGTCACGAAGTTGACGCCCAGCTACTCGACGCCCAACTGCTCGGCGTCCTGAGTCGAGGTCGACGTCGGCCCCTCCTTCGTCAACCACCAGGTCAGGTCGACCACCAGCAGGTCGACCAACAGGCCTGGTCGACCAACCACCAGGTCGACCAGCAGTCCGTCAGCCGACCACCCAAGTCGGCTGCCCCAAGTTGACGTCACCAAGTTGACGTCCTCCGCAGGTCGACCTCCCAGGTCGACCTCCCTGAAGTCGGCGCCACCCTGAAGTCGGCGCCCGTGCAGTGGTTCCCGTGCAGGTCGACCTCCTTGTCAACCAGCTCGCCCACTGCTGCAGGTCGGCTGCTCCCCTCACACCCGACCACGAAGTCGGCTCCGCCCAAGCGAGGACGGGGCCAACACACAACTCTCGTTGACACTCCCCTGCCGCGTTCACGCTTGGGCCCCCAGCCCATACGGCAGTACTCCCCAGAGAATAGCTCGTCGACGTGCACCCAACACACAGCACGTCGTCACCGCACCAGCCATGCAAGAGGGCATGGCACCTACTGCTGCACTTCGTCAACTTCGTCGCCCACGTCGGCCAAGCGCACCTGGCCGATGGCGACGGAGCACCGGTTGAAGGCCGGATAGTGCAGCGCCTTCGTCAGAAAGTCGGCCGGCTGCTCAGCGGCCGGGATGTACATCAGCGAGAACTTCCCGCGCTTCACTATGTGCTGCAGCCAGGCCTGTCGCCGCTCCATGTGTTTGAGGTTGCCCGTCAACCCCATGCCCTCGGCGACCGTG